ATTAGCAGTGGACATGTGAAACATCTTGCAGAAAGCCCTCTGCACAGCTTCGCTCAATTGCTGCATTGATATCTGTCGATGTCTGACACTTTCCCGAATTCTGACCCTTCAAGTTCAGAATAGGCACAAGGACAGAGTGCTCTGCAAATCTTTCTGCGTATCTTTTCATTCAATTTGAAGTTCATGCCCTCCTGTTCTTTCAGGCTGATTAATCTCGGGTTGGAGAAGAACCATCAGTACTTCCATGTGTTGATTGAACCTCTCTTCGGAGATCTTCTTCGCCTCTTTTCATGTCCCCTCCGCCCTCTTTGTCTGCGTTTCTTTTTTTTTTTTTTTTTTTTTTTTTTTTTAATGAAGGCCCTTGTGCAAGACCTCTATCCTGGTGGTGGTAAGAGAACCACCGGGATTGAGGCTTTGCCTAGCGGGCCGACTTGAAGCTTCTCCGGAACAACAGCAACCCTTCAGGTCCACGTAGAGAGACTACCCTGTCAGCCTGATGTGGTTGCAGTTGATGACGTTGATTAACAGCGTGAACCTAGCCTTTGTAGCTAGCTTCTCCTTAGGGAGCTTCTTCATATTAACTGTTTGAGGATAATTGCCCATGCCTGCAAATAACCTTCTTCCCCCGAATACAACGCACGGTCATTATCGCCGTATCTAGACTGAAAGATGCCTCAAATACAGCTAGAATTACCGTATGTTGTATTCGGGGGAAGAAGGTAGTGCGTGGCCATGTGGTCTTCCTACTCACATCCATGACTTCGCGAGCTGTACACCGACTGCTCAACAAAATGACTACCTTGTTTTTTGCTTCAAAAACTTCACCGTTTTCGCTGATGCGGGAAGGTGCAGCACTGCAGCAGCAGCAACAAGAAGAAGAAGAAGAAGAAGAAGGAGAAGAAGAAGAAGAAGAAGAAGAAGAAGAAGAAGAAGAAGAAGAAGAAGAAGAAGAAGAAGAAGGAGGAGAAGAAGAAGAAGGAGAAGAAGAAGAAGGAGAAGAAGAAGGAGAAGAAGAAGGAGAAGAAGAAGGAAGAAAGAAGAGGGAAGAAAGAAGAAGGAAGAAAGAAGAAGGAAGAAAGAAGTAGGAAGAAAGAAGAAAGAAGAAGAAAGAAGAAGAAAGAAGAAGAAGAAGAAGAAGAAGAAGAAGAAGAAGAAGAAGAAGAAGAAGAAGTCACAGGTACAACAGAACAGATAGAATCATGTTCACACGGAGGACTCAAGGAAAAAGCCAAAACCAGTTTCCTTTCGCCAAAAAACGTACGCATTCCCTCGACGCGTTTCGACTTGCGCGTACACAAGTCTCATCAGGAGGAACTACCACCGCTCATAAGATAAGAAGGAGACTAGCT